GGTTATGCCAACTTGTCGCAGCAACGCTCTTCACTGGTGTATTGCTCCATTACCGGTTACGGCCAAACTGGTCCAGCCAAAAACAAACCTGGCTATGACTACGCCGTGCAGGGCCAAGGCGGCTTGATGGGCGTTACGGGTTTGGCCGCCCAGCAAGGCGGCGAGCCAGTGAAAGTGGGGGTGGCTGTGACGGATATTATGACCGGTTTGTACGCCAGCACAGCCATTTTAGCGGCGGTTTACCATGCCATGCGCACTGGGCAAGGCCAATACATAGATTTGGCGCTTTTGGATGTGCAGGTGGCTGCTTTGGCCAATGTGGGCAGCAATTACTTGGTGCATGGCCAATACCAAAACCCGCCGCAAATTCCGCAGCGCATGGGCAATGCGCACCCCAACATCGTTCCTTATCAAACTTTTGCCGTTGCGCCCTCTAACGAGGCAGAAAACGACTTTGTCATTTTGGCTGTGGGTAACGATAGCCAATTCGCAGCTTTTTGTCAGGTAGCAGGCCAGCCCCAGTGGGCTAGCGATCCGCGATTTTCCACCAATGCCCAGCGCGTGGCAAATCGCGAGTTGCTGGTCGCGCAAATTGCCCCGTGTATGCTACAGCGCAGCAAAGCCCAGTGGTTAGCGCAGCTGGAAAATGCGGGCGTTCCTTGCGCGCCTATCAATCGTTTGGATGAGGTGTTTGCCGATGCGCAAGTTCAGGCACGCGAATTGTTGCAGCACTGGAATCACCCCTTAAACCCCGAACTCGCGCTCACAGCCAGTCCCATACGTCTGAGCGCTACTCCCGTACAAAAATTGCGCCCTCCTCCCTTACTCGGAGAGCATACCAGCGAAATCTTGCAAGACTGGCTAGCGCTCACGCCAGAGCAACTCCAAACCCTTAAAACCCAAGGTGCGTTGGGCTAGGGCAGTAAATTCAACGCATGGATGTACTGTGGACTGCGTACCAGATCTGCCCATTGCAGCGCTTTGGATGTTCCCAATAAACGCATACGGCGCTCTTGGCTGCTCAAATCCATTTGCCATTGGCCGCTGAGGGCGGCTGCTTGCAAGCCCTCAATCAGCTCGTCTATCTCCCATCCGCGCTGCACTACCGATTGGTTGCAAATGAGTACCATGTCGCAACCCGCTTGCAGCGCTGCCAAAGCGGCTTGGGTATAACTCACTTCTTTGCCGTCAATTTTGCGAGCCGCTGCCATGCTCAAATCGTCGCTAAATAT